CTACTCACTCTGAAGTGAGTTCAGAGCTAGAACTCAAAACTATCTTCTGAATCCCCAATCCAGGAATATTTCCACTTTATCAGGCTTTCTTTTTATTTAAGTTGTAATTGACTTTAATTTTAGAAATTAATATGTCATATTAAATGTAGTTATCATGAAATCAGACGAACAATAATAAACTACCCTATAAAGTTTGGGTACTCAGAAAACTTCAGTATTCATCTGTAATAGAAAATAAATGTCCACGATCCAGGGCCAACCCTAGGGAAGACTGTCAGGTCAGGGAAGTTTATCTTCCTAAGTGTCTTATCTTTCCAAAGACATCTTCCTTTCCCCTCCAGCACGGGGTTTATTTTCCTCCTGCTCTACTAGCAATCTCTTTGTGCCCTTCTCAGACCAGGCTGGACGGGTTTCTTCTCTCTTTTATCTAAACAACTCTTTCTCATGCCCCCTTCCTCCTGGGCCCTACTATCTGTGAGAAGCCTTGTAAATCAACCATGATCATTGATGTGCTACCCCTTTAAGGTCCGATACTATCAGCTATTTTTTACAGCTATTTTTTGAAGCTAACAATGGGAATTTGGGGGGCCCTCAAAAAGTCAGTGGGAAGGATGTTTTGAGACAATCCAGCCTTTTGGTACCATTCAAATCGCTTCCATCTCTTTATTAATAGGGCCAGTTGCATGTCACTTATCTGTTAAGCATTATATTTAAAGTTTTTTGCAAACCTTAATGTGCTATGTGGATGGATGGATGGCTAGATGTATGTATGTATGGATAGATGAAAAAATCTTTATTAAGTACTCACTATGTAGCAAACTATGAGTATACAGACACAAAATAATACTGTTTTTGATTTCAAAGAGATCAGATTTTAATTTGGAAAGACAACACATATGGTATGGTCCAGCTGCAGGGTGGACAAGAAGGCCCAGTGGTCTTTAGGGTCATGACTATATAAAAGTGAGGCGCTTTTACTGTTATTAGATGACAGATAAAGTTAGCTGGGACATTTGGGGTTCTTGCTCAGCTTGCAGTTACCCAGCTGTATACATGCTGTAGAGCACAATATTGAGGCCCTGGTATCAAAACCAGCAGGGAGGAAGCTTTTACTTTCTCTTCTGGGTTGTGTTATATCAAAGTATTTTTCATGTGATAGTTGGAGTAGCCTGTGCTTTCTTCATTTTTTTCTAGAGCCCCAGGGATCAGTGCTGAGTTCTACCTTGATCTGATTTCCCATTGAAATTGGGCCAAGGTAGAGCTCAACACCTCAACTCCTGTTGATTTCACCAATACTGAGAAACCTGACCACTGGTAACCCCATCTATTAGTATCATAGGATCACAAATTTAGAGCTGGAAGGGATCTTAAAAGTCATTTAGTTAACCCCTCATTTTACAGATAAGATAAACTAAGTCTGGAGTGGTAAAGTGATTTATCCACGGTAATATAGACAGTTAGTGGCAAAACCTAGTCAGCTAGGAGTTTCAGTGAATAGAGAACTGCACTTGGAGACAAAAAGACCTGAGCTCGAATGTGGCCTCAGACGTTTACCAGCTTTGTGACTCTGGGCAAGTCACTTAAACTGAGATATCAGCCTTGGTTTCCAGGATGATCATAATAGCACCTACCTCACAAATGGTTGTGAGAATCAAATGAGATAAGTAAAGTGTTTTACAAATCTTAAAGCACAAATCTTAAAGCACTACTTAAAGCCAGTAGTGATGATGAGGGTGATGATGAAGAGCAGGATTCAAACCCAATTCCTCTGACCCTAAATCCCACATTCTTTCCATTGCACCTGGCTAACCTGCCAAGAAAAAAATACGTTATTGCTGATCCTCTCTTATGTCTCCATTAGTATAACTGATCCACTAGGTTTAAAATCAAAGGACCTGAATTCAAATCAGACCTTTGCTGCTTCAGTATTGGGATGACTTTAGGCAAGTATCTTCTGCCTCCCTGGGCCTTGGTTTCCTAACCTTTAAAATGAGGGCATTGGATTAGGTGATCTCTTAAGGTTCCTTTCTACCTCTAAAACTCTTTAGAATTAAATGGGCTACCTTCTCACCCCCAGTTTTAGATAAATCACACAAGGCTTTGAATATAACTTTTGTTATTTTTCATCGTTAAGCAGATCAGAAATCGTTTTTATAAACTGAAGTATCTTAGCTATATCTTCAAATTCAGTTGGGTGTCAGCACCATTATTTCAATATGTACAACATTTTAGCAGTTTTCCATAGCTATAGCCATGAACTGAAAAGCCCCTGGGTCCTGTTCCTATTACGAAGCCTCCCACCAGTGAGTTGAGATAGGATCCGAGGAGAAAACAGTCATAGCATGGAGATTTAGTGTTCTTAAAAATATCTGAATGTCCTCCCTTCTTTCAGGGGGATGATGGGTGCAAATCATTGCTTGTACTGTCCCATAGTAACTATTGCTTGGTTTTGATAAACTCTTTTTTCTTTGCTGTGAGGAAGGTCTTATGGAGTAAGTGTTGGGGTATATTAGGAAATGCTTGTGGTATAAAAAACAAAAGGCATCTATAAAACTTAGCACTTTAAAAAATTGTTGGGTAGGGTGGTTTATCCAGCTCTTTCCAATGCCAAAAGAAATGACCAGTAATGGGCCACTAGGTAAAAGAAAGTGAAACTTGACTGCATCCTTCCATGGAGCCAGAAGAGTTAAACCTTATCTTTAGTTTCCCAGAGGCAGCACCTACAGATTATCTGATCTATTTAAGAAACAGGCATCAAATTGAACATTTTTGTGATTGCATCTCAAACCTATCAGTTGGTGAAAAGGGAACTTGGATCTCAAGGTCTAAGTAAAATATTGAAAGTGAGATTACTAAGAATGGTATTTGTTTAAGGGTCAGGAACATGAAAGTCGAATAGACCCAAGAAATGGAGTGAAAATTGAAAGTAATTGATAAAGACTATGCAGAATTTAAGACTTCAGGAAAGGGAGAAAATAGCTTTAAGTACCAAGATGAAGGAAACCATAGATGACAAAGTCAGAGAGTTTTTCAAGGCACCTAAAGGGAATATTAATTAAGAGCCAGCGAATCCATTTAGGCTAAATAAGATAAAAGTCCAAAACCATCTCTCTCATTTGTTTATTTATTTATTGTTTTGCTTTGGAGTGTGAAGATATTTGGAGGGGCATAATTTTGGTACTTTTGAAATCTCTTGTGACAGGAGTTGAAATACTTCCTTTTAAAGTTGCTTCAGGAAAATCCTCCAAATAAAACAAAAACAAGTTGTTGGGTTTTTTTTTTTTCACAACAAAGAAAATTAGATGATTGTTAAATCATTTCTGAGTCACCATCTATTTTTGTAGGAGAGAGGAGAAATCAATGTGGATATATAAGTGGTCATGGACCAAGGGCCAGCATTGGAGGCAGAAAGACTTGGGTTCAAGACCCGCTTCTAACACATTGACACTATCATTGTGGACAAGCCACTTAACCTCTAAGATGTTAAATTCCAGATGAGTTTCCAGTCTGGAGTTTCCTTCACTGATGAATGTGTGTGTGTAGGTGTACATATGTATGTGTGTGTGTATATATGGTATGTATATATGGATATATGCATATATATGACATGACCATCAAGTAATGCAATCATTAATAAAAATCACTAGAAATTATATATCCAAATGAGTTGTTCTTGAGTGTAATCACTTGGATGACAGTAAAATTACATCAGGAAGGTGAGTTGTTCAGAACATTATTAGAATTCTTCAGAGTCAGTTTATAAGTTACACAAGGAAATCAGTCTCAATAATTTGTAAATATACCTGGTCTGGTGACAAAAACAATATTATCCAACTTTATCATCAATTTGTTCTTTTAAAGATCTAACTCTGGATAACTTTTCCTGTTTGTAAAAGTCAAATTCACCCACAAAAGGTAAAGAAGGAACTATAAGGCAGTGGGAAGAGCACTGGATTTGGAGTCAAAGAACCTGGGTTCAAATCCTGGTTCTTCTGCTATCTGTGTGACCTTGGGCAAATCTCTTCACATCTCTAGACCTCTTTTTCCTCATAAAGAAGATTCTTTATAAGAATATCACACAATGATATCATACATTGAGGGGGTTGGACTAGATAAGAGATGTTTAGCCTTGTTTATGTCATGGAACCCTTTGGCAGTCTGTTGACCTTTCTCATAATAATGTGTGTTGCCTGCATTCATAATTGGTGCAAATGCCAAATTTCAGTTAGTGGTTAACGAAAATAGAGGTGTTTTTTCCCCATCCAAGTTTACAGATCCCCAGATAGCTATCCATGGACCCCCAAGGGGTCTGTGAACCCCAGCTTAAGTATCCCTGGACGAGATGATATTAAAGCTCTCTTCTAGCTCTAGAGTCTATGGTTTGCTACCATTGAAGATGTTCAAAACAATGTGCCCAGGTCAACTCTGGGAGCAGATCCACAGGAGAAGAACCCAGAGTGTTTGTGGCAAAGGTGGTATCATGGTTTGTCAAGGGGAAGGGACCAATTTAGATTTAAAAGTTCTGACCTGATTAAATCCTGAGCAATAAATTAATTCCATTACTTTATAATTGAGAGGAAGCATAGTGTAGTGGAGGGAGTGCTGAGCTTGGAGTTAGGAAGAATTAGGTTCAAATCCTACTTCTGAAACTTATTTGCTCTGTGACTATAAGCACGAAACTTAAAACTCTCTGAGTTTTATAATAGACTTTTAAAAAAAGTTTTATGTAGATAGCCCTCAGTGTTGGTGGAAGGAATGTCCACAAATCTGACACAAATGTCCACAAGTCTGACAAAATCAGATTGAGACACCTATTTATATAATGGTATGACTAATGAGAAAATACTCAAATCAACAAGCCTCAAAATGCTTATCATTGGGTCCTAGTCAGTTTTTGAGGGGGAGAGGAGTGCATTTCTTCTGACAATTTCACAAGTTAAACACCCTTTGAGTCATCTATTATTAGTCCATTTGCTAAAAAATGTTCTGCCCTTTTGCAGAATCCTAGGTAACCGAGTGGCAGAGCTGGAGAAAAAATTGAGAACTTTGGAAGTCTCAGGTTTGTGGAGTCTCCCAGGTGAGTAAAAACTTCATGAAAATTATTGACTGCAGTGGTTTTCTTAAGTGACCATCATGTCATTTGCATAAGAAGTCTTAACCTTTTTAGTATTCTTTTATTAAAAGAATATCATTGCTGGGACATACAAAAGCATTTGGATGTGTAAATCACAGGTCTAGGACAGGAAAATGTCATGTGGTAAACACAAGGAGCATTCACAGTGTTGCCAGAGGAAATACAGAATAGTTAAAGACTACTTGCAGTATTATAAACTTAAACTGTATCACTCAGAGTGCCTGGCTCTATTTCTACTTTCAGTAAATACTATGGTTTGTATTGCTTGCATGTGCTCAGTTCAATCATTAGTCCTAAAAAGTACTGAAAGAGCCCACCAATCGACACCCTCATCCCCTATAACCCTTGACAAAAATTCCAACCTGTTTCTTTTCCATTCTTCAGAGGTACAAAGCTTGGCTTTCCTGTGGAGGTTTTTCGCAGTTGAATTCTCAGAGGAAACTCCTTCTGCTGTTCACTTCAATTAGCTATATTTATCCTGTTCATCTGAGAAAAGTACCCCCTTCATGAGACCACCGCCAACTAGTTCCCTTCACATTTAGCCCTCTTAAGCAACTTATATTTATCATTCCACCTCTTCTTTTCCCTGCTATCAAAGTCATGTATATTTTTAGTTACTTAACCTTTCTACACCAACCAATCTCTCCTACCCCTTAATCATATCTGTTGTTTTCCTCTAATGCATGATAACTCCATTCATGTTCTCCTGAGAGTTGCACAGGATGGGCAGGCATGGATAGGCTATTTACCTTGTTGGTGAGAGTGCCCACATTGATAAGACCTTAGATCCATCAAAGTAACTGAAAAAATGGTCAATTTCCTTAGCCAATAAGTAACAGATAATAATAATAAGTTTTCTTACTCTGACTCCAAATAGTTTCATCAGATTGCCTGGGGATAGGGAGGGGGAGCAGTGATACATAATTGGAAATTTCCAATGACAACTTCTCAAGCTTTGTGTCAAAATATATAGCATAGCTCATTCAAAGTGAGGGCTCCCTTGAGAGGTAAATAGTCCACTTCTAAGAACGTTTTGCAGAAGTGAAAGCAGTATCATTTGTGGTGGCTTTTTAAAAAATTCCATTGTTTTAATCCAGCCATGCAAGCTTATCAAATGCTCCTCACTCTTTATGTTTTGGTGTTGTGATATTTTTTTTCAGCATGTATTCCCAATATTTTACCACGTATGTAAAAAGACTGAAGTTGAAGAAATGAATGCTGAGGGTTTTTTTTTCCTTTTCTAGCACTTTTCTGTTTGAGTAAGACAACAAATTAATATTTATAAAATAACAATTGTCTCTTTCCTTCTTTCTGCTGCCTGAAGGCCTGAGCTACAATGTTTCAGTGGGATTCAGGAGTAGGTTCTATTTGAAATGTCTTTTTATAGCTATTTTTTAGCAATAAGTAATATCATTGCATGTAATTAATTGGAAAGTGTTATCTGGACTGTCTTGTGTCCATCGGATTAAGATATTCAGTTGAATTAAAGGGTCTCAAGGGAATTGGCCTCTCTTTGCCAATATACAGTAGTAAAACTGGACATGAGGCACTTGGCCAAATGAATTTACCCTGTGGCCATGTTTGTCTTTAACGCCAACCTTAATGAAAGCAGTGGGAGAGAAGAAGGGGAACGAGAGGGGAAATTTTCTTCAGTTTTTCAAAATTATGTGCTGACAGTGGCATTGCCTTTCCTTATGCAATGGTAAAAAGAGAAATGTCAAGGTATAGTAGTTCTCCAACCACTGGGAAAGGAGGAGGAAATGTTCCTTCTGTCCTCATATAGGTCAGTCTGTTCTGTTGAATGGTATTTCCATTTGTCTCCATTTTAACCAACTGAATTGTAATGCAATGATTTTTGGTTTTTCAAGTGAGAGGCAAGTTAGAATATTCCTGCCACTGATCTTCCCCCTCCCAGGGGTTTTCAGAGACTTGTATACTGCTTCTGATGCTGAAATCAGTGCCTGCTACAAACCATTCATACAGTAGTATCTACCACATATCTACCTTGTGGATATCATGTGACACAGTAGCCGAAAAAAAGTTAATTTGATTTGACCTTATCAATAGAAGCATACTCTTGTGGGCAAGACCCTGCTCTGGATAGACAATATTCATTCAATTCTGGACACCATATTTAAGAAAAGATATTGACACATATGAAATGTTGAGAGAATAATAGAAAATATAAATTAAGTGCTAAATTGTATAGTAGTTAGGAGTTCAGAGAAGGGAGACATTAGTGTAAGCTGGAATAGTTGGGAAAGTTTCATGGTGGAAATAGGGACTTGAATTGGGCTTAGGTGGAATTTGACTGGGCAAAGATCAAAAGCTAAAACAAACTAATCATTATATTGAGGCAATGTGGTACAATGGAAAGAGCCCTAGACTAGGAGTTGGGAGTAATTGATTCTAATCCATATTATAATCCACATTTGGTCACTGGCTAGCTGTGTAATCTTGGGCAAGTCCCTTGACATCTTCAAGCCTCAGTTTTCTCATCTATAAAATGGGGGAGTAGACCTAGATGAATTCTAATCTCCCTGTAGAAGGTAAATTCTCTCCCTGGGAAAAAAAGCAAACAAACAAACAAAAGAACAGTTTTGTTCCCTGTTGTATCCCTCTTAGGAACTTAGCATGGCTCCATGCTTAAATGAATGTTCCCTAAATATTTGTTAATAGTTTTGAAAGAGGGCACTAGCAATGGAATTTCAAAGGGATCTGACCTGGTGATTATCTTGCTAAACAAAATATAAAAACTTACTATAAAGAGCTTGAGAATTCACAATTTGAGAAAAAGAGAATCTCAGAGGATATTTGGTCCAACCCATGTCTGGCTATGAATCCCTTCTAGGACTTATTGAACTATTCTAGTGACAAGGGATATGCCAACTGGATGCTTCCCATGCAAGTTTGGTTCAACCCTAAGTGTCAGGAAGTTTTCTTTACACAGTGACAAAAGCTGGCTCTCTGCAATGCATGCGATTGCTCCTAGGGCTCCTCAAGGGCCAAGCCCCTCCCCCCTCAAATAAAAGCCTACCCTCTTCTACATTATAACTCTTCAAATGATTGAAAACAGGCACCTTGTGCCTTTTAAGCGTTGTTTTCCCCAAACTAAAGCATTCCAAATTTTTTCAACTGTTCTCTTATAATCTAGTCTCCAATCTTCTCCCTGTCTGGTTTCCCTCTTTTCACCTGTTACCATTTGTCATTATGACATCCAGGATTGAAAAAATATCTTAGAGGTGTTCAGAATGGGGAAGAATAAAGAAGACTTATATCCCTTGTTCTAGGAACTATGCTTATATTATTTTCACATGCAAGCATATATATCTCTTTTCCTATTATAGTACGTTAGTTTCATTATTATTGAACAATGATTTTTTTTTTTAATTTGGTGAGGCAATTTGGGTTAAGTGACTTGCCCAGGGTCACCCAGCTAGTAAGTGTCATGTGTCTGAGGCTGGATTTGAACTCAGGTCCTCCTGACTCCAAGGCTGGAGCTTTATCCACTGCGCCACCTAGCTGCCCCAAACAATGATTTTTTTAAACCAAGGATAGGACTTTCTACTCTGAATTACTATTACTAACTTCTTCTACTACTACTACTACTATTGATAAGAATAGTTATTTATAAAGCACTTTAAGGATTGTAAAGCACTTTGCACATATTATCTTATTTAATCTTCACAACTGCGCTATATATTAATAACTTCGTTTTTACAGACTATGGAGCCAAGACTCAGAGAAACCAACTCATGGTCTTTGTTGTTGTTCAGTCAATTCAGTTGTGTTCTACTCTCCATGACCTAATTTTATTGGCAAAGATACTGGAGTGGCTTGCCATTTCCTTCTCTAGTAGATTAAGATAAACAGAGGTTAAGTGACTTGCCATGGGTTACAAAGGTACTAAGTGTCTGAGGCCAAATTTGAATTCAGGTCATCCTGACTCCAGGCCCAGCTGTTTGTCCACTGAGTCACCTAGCCATCTCCTAACTCATGGTCATACAGCTGTAAAATCTCAGATTTAAGATTAAATCCTACATCTCTCCTGTTGTTACATCTTATTTGATTCTGACCTTCTTTCTAGTCTGAGACCTTTATTAGACTCTTAACCCTGTTGTCCAGGCTATAAACTGTCTCTCCCAACTTTGTATCATCTGCAAATTTGGTAAGCATTCCACCTATGTTTTCAAGTCATTGATAAAAGTCATTTTATGTAGCGCTATAACTATTAAATGGTACAGGGCAAAAGACAGATCCACAGGGCACTCAATTAAAACCTTTCCAATACGTCATTGATCCATTAGCTGCTATTCTTTAGAGCTGTTCATTGAACTAATTGTGGACATTCCTTACTCTACCGTTATCTAGCCCATATCTCTCCATTATGAGTCATCCACAAGGAGAGCATTGGAGTCTGTCAAATGGCTTGCTGAAATAGAGGCAAATTTATCCACAGCTTCCTCCTGATTTACAGTGCTAGTAACCCTGTCAAAAAAGGAAATGAGGTTCATAAGATCATAGATTGAGGGTTGAAAGGGACCTTAGAGGTCCTAGAGTACAACTCATTAATTTTACAGGTGAAGACACCAAGATTAAGTAGCTCCTCCAAAGTCACACCAGGTTGTAACCTAGGTCCTCAGACTCCAAAGCCAGGGTTCTTTCCATTCTCTGTGCCACCAGGATGTTCTTAATAAACCTCTTCTGGCTTTTAGCAATTACTACTTACTAGCTTTCTAAATCTTACAAACCATTCCTTTAATAATACATTCTGGAATCTTCCCAGAAATCAAAGCCAAGCTTATTGTCCTATAGTCTGAAGATTCTAACCTTTTCACTTTTTGAAAAACAGGTTAACATTTTCCCTTCTCCAGGCCCTGTGGCACCTCACTCATTCTCCAGTTTTTAAAGGTCACTGACAAAGGCTTAGCAGTCACATCTGC